CATGGTGGCTGAGAAGCAGCAGTGCCAGGATGCACAGAGCCAGCAGAAGGAGCAGCTGGTGCTGCTGGAGAAGAAGAGTGCCACCTACTCCCAGGTGCGTCTGCCGCCCTTTGCCTTGCTCTTTTAGGGACACAGGGCTTCTGGTTTGCCAGCCTCCTCTGGCTCTGCTCACTGCTCCCCACCCCCTCCCCGGGCGCAGGTGCTTCTGCGCTGCCTCGCCTTGCTGCGGAGGCTCCTTCAGGAGCACCGGCTGCAGGCACAGTCCCAACTGGACCGCATCAATGCCCAGTACCTGGAAATCAAGTGCAGTGCCATGATCCTGAAGCTGCGGTGAGCTGTGTGCCTGGGGGCCACGTACCACGCCTCTGTTCCTCTCCTCATCTCCCTCTCTCCTGTGCCTAGCAACTGTGGGCATCCAGGAAGTGCCACACGGCAGCATTATTAGCTTTGGATCACCCAAAAGCTTTGGCTCTCAACTTCTAGCTTTCTGACATAGCTGCTTTACAGTAGACCAGTGTGCAGGGATTGAGGACGACCCAACCCTGCTTAGTCCCCTTCCTTTTTTTTTTTGGAACCAGGGATTGAACTCAGGCCCTTGCACTTGCCAGGGAAGCACTTATGCTACTGAGCCATCTCCCTGGCCCGTTAGCCCCCTTAGTCCCTTTCCTAACTGTAGCCAGGTTCTTGCCTAGCTCTGCTGCTCCGAGCATTGTCCTTGTGACACTTCTTTATTCCCTCTGTCAGGATGGAGGAACTGAAGATCGTGTCTGACACTTACACTGCTGAGAAAGTGGAGGTTCACCGTGTTATTAGGTGAGGACTCCCACGTGGCTGGCTCCTGCATCCCCCCCCCCAACGTGTGCATCCTAACATGCTCCTAGTCTGTTGTCGTTATAAGCACCCTCACATGACCCTCCTCTGTCTGTGCCCTTAGGGACCGCTTAGAGGCAGGCATTCACATCCAAGAGCAGGACATGCAAAAGTCACGACAGGTGCTGAGCACCTATGAGGTTCTCGGGGAGGAGTTCGACAGGCTGGTGAAGGAGTACACCCAGCTCAAGCAGGCAGCCGAGAACCGGCGCTGGGCCCTGCAGGAGTTCAGCAAGGCCTACTGCTGAGTGTGGGCAGAGCCGGGAAGCAGGGATTCTGCACAGCTGCCGCTTCCCTCTTCCTGCTTCACGGGCCGCTTCCACCTGGGCAAGTCGGGACATGTGCTTAAAATGCTGCAGGTGTGTACGCACCTGGTTTCCTCATTTACCATGACACAGTCTATTCTGGAAAACAGATTTATGTGACTTTATATGTCACTGTTTATGTCAGCCCTGTGTTTGATTAGCTCCTGAATAAAGTGATGCCATTATGTCTTAGGATTTTAATCATTTTCCTGGGCGAGGATGGGGAAAGATTCATAGTGCTACCAAAAAGGGGGAGGCAGAAGCGCCAGCCTGCCCTTCCTCAAGTCCTGGAGACTTCATTCTAGGAGAGCAGAATGGGATAAAATCTGGGCTTTGCTTGAAGAATCATATGTCCAGCATAGTAGTTGCTTAGGCAGTAGTGGGCTGTCAGTCGGCACTTACAATAATGTGGCCAGACATTCACCTTGGTACTAGGCAGGACCAGAGCTACTTGTGCTTCTGGTTCCCTCCGGTGTCGTTCGAGGACTTCATATCTCTTCAAAGCAGAGGGTGGGAGGGAGACCTGAGGAAGCAGGTTCCCAGGCTTCTTAGCTGAGATTGAGATGGGCCAGGCCACTAAAAACCAGTGAGTGAGAACAGAAGCAGAAAGCCTCTGCCTGTACTGAGAACCTATTCAAGCTTCTCAGCCACTTCCCAGAGAGACTGGCTTAGGTGTGTTGGTGATGTCAAGTGACACTCCAAATTGGTATGGGAAGAATTAGATTGTTAGACTTTATAAATGGTGCTTACTGCCATTTTTCTAGAAGCAAATGTCCCACACAAAATGGGATAAATGAGGCTGAGGACATAGCTCAGTGTCAGCGCCTGCCTGGCAAACAAGCTCCTGAGTTTGATTACCAGTACCAAAAAAAAAGAACAAAGCCAGGCATGGTGGCACATGTCTATAATCCCAGCACTCAGGAGACTGAGACAGGAAGATGGCTTTAATTTAGAGACTAGCGTGGGCTACATAGACTGCCTTAAATAAATGAAATGGATAAATAGCAACTAGATAATGGAAAGATTCAAAAATAGCCCATGACAACTGTGTATGGTGGCAACATGGGTATAATCCCAGCACTTGGAAGACTGAGACTAAAGAATCTCGAGTTTAAATCCTGCCTGGGGAGTTTAATGATTTAGTGAGACCCTGTCTCAAACAATAAAAAAGGACTGGGAATGTAGTTAAGTGTGGAGACCCTGGGTTCAGTCCTCATACTGTGTGTGTGTGGGGGGGGGAATTGATGTTATAAAAAATCAGTCCATACTTTTTTTTTTTGGCGGAACCGGGGATTGAACTCAGGCCCTTGCCAGGCAAGCACTTATTCTACTGAGCTATCTCCCCAGCCCCTCCCATACTTTTCAGAATGTCTCATTCACCTGTGGTATCTAAGGTGTTCTTCTCCTGTTCTACTATAGTAGCCACTAGTTACATACAGCTATTTAAATTCAGATGTAAGTCAGTGATATAAAATTAAATTTCTAGTAGCTTGGTGTTTACTGTTTGGACCGTGCATATGCAGCATATATATATTATTGGACAGTGCTGTAAGCCCATGTTAGGGGCTTACAGATCTCCAGGCTTGACTGGATGCAGGCATTTTCGCAAAGAATACTTAACAGATGCCATGTACTTCACAAGGCAAACTGGAGCCTCAGTAGGTCAGATATTCTCTGTCTGTCTGGTTTTTCTGATACAGGGTCTCACTGTGTACTTCAGGTTGACCTTGAACTCACTATGTAGTCCAGGTTGGCTTCAAACTCACAGTGATCCTCCTGCCTCAGCCTCCTGAGTGCTGGATTACAGGTAGGCACCACCACACCCAACTAGGATGTCTCATTATTTCAGTTAAATCTGATTACTTGGTTAAGTAATTACCTGACAGATGTCCAGTAGTAGGATCTCTCTAACGAAAAAGGTAGATTTTTCCCCCCTTGGTTGTTAGTAGCATCTGAAAATGAACTTCAGAAATTTCAAAATAGTTCTCACTGATACTGGTACTCAACATGTCCTCAATTAGGTGCTCACCCTCAGGCATACGAGGTTGTGATATTTGAACCAGTAAAAACAATATTTTAAAAAGTAGAGCTTGTCCTTAATATTCATAACCTGTAGACCATAAGAGGCCACAAAAAGCAGTCTAATAACGAGCCTGGCGCAGTGGCGCTGTGGTAGATTAACGACTGGTCAACTTGTAACACCCAGCTGAACTGAATCAGCGTGGTTCTGGTAGAGAGGCCCACCTGAGCACTGCTGCCAGCGACACAAATGGAGACCTGGGGGGCCTGCCCCTTAGCTCAGTTCTTTAAGTGGCTGCTTCAACAAAGCAGTCAGGCTCAGGTTGCTGTGTTTTGATCCCCACAACACAAGCCAGCCAGTCATGCCTTGAAGGCATTTGGAGCAGGAAAAAAACCAAAAAAACAAAAAAACACTTGGCCGGGGAGATGGCTCAGTAGGATAAGTGCTTGACTGGCAAACACAAGGATCTGAGTTCAATCCCTGGTTCCGCAAAAAATAAAAAATAAATAAATAAATAAAAAATTAAAAAAAAAAAAAAAAAATGGAGACCTGGAGGGGAAGCTGAGCTGCTGTCGGTTCTCAAAAAAAAAAAAAAAAAAATGGAGACCTGGAGGGGAAGCTGAGCTGCTGTCGGTTCTCGTGGAGGAGCTTGTTGCCCTGGCCGTCCATCAGTGGAGGAGCTCGGGTCCTCACGTCCTCGCTGTCGCTGAGGATGGCTATGGTACTTTCCAGGGGAGCTCTGGTCCTTATCTTGAATGTCACTTCCTGGCTTCAGCACAGACCCCTCAAGCCTGCTGGCACAGATCATCTTGCTGGTGCAGACTTTCTAGCTTCCGCCACTGACTTTCTGCCGCGGCCTTTCCAGTGCAGATTCTTGATGCAGACTTGCATGAGATGTTGTCATGGGCTCTAGGCCTCCAGCTGGCCTCGTGGAGCACACTGCCATGGGACCCAAGCCCTCAGCTGGATTCTTTAAGTCTCTAGCACACTCTTCTGCATTTGACTCTTTGGGTGAATATTATAAAATAGTATAAATTATGTGTCCTATATTAAATCCATTCCCTTGCAAACCCTGACTGCAGCAGGCACAGTCCTGTGATTGCAGCTACTGGGGAGGCTGAGGCAGGAGGATGGCAAGTTTAGGGCCAGCCTGGGCAACTTAGCAAGACACTGCCTCAATTAAATGAAAAGCGCTGGGGCTGAGTAAGAGAGAGTGCTCCTTTAGTTCCAGCACTCTGAGAGACTGAGGAAGAAGGGGTAGAAGTTTGAGCCTAGCCTGGGCAACTTGGTGACTTCACAAGACTCTGTCTCAAAGCACAAAACAAAACAACATAACAAAAATAAAAATGGCTAGGGGCTGGGGACATAGCTCAGTGTGAAAGCTTTGGATTCAAACACACACACACACACACACACACAACTGTAGCTCAGTGGCAGAGTATGTGAGTGTGTGCAAGGTCCTGTTAGGTTCAATTCCCAGAATAACAAAAACAAAATGTGTGTGTGTAAAAAAAAAAAAAAAAAATCCATAGTTTAGGTAGAGACTGGAGAGCTAAAGGTTGAGAAATGTTAGATTTCCAGCTACCCGGGAAAATAAAGTGGCTCCTAGGGCCTAGTTCCCTCTCTAGCTCCCAAGAGAACATGGAGATGGACAGCGAGCTGGTTCTATTTCCAAAGTCCCAAAGTCCAAAGAAATCTGAATATTTTCCCATAACAGTTAATCCTAGCACTTGGTATGCTGAGGCAGTAGGCTCACAAGTTCAGTTCAGCCTGGGCGATTGAGGTCCTGCGTAAAAATAGATAAAGCTGGGCATGATGGTGGACACTTACAATTCTAGAACTCTAGTTGGGTAAGTCAGGATCTAGGCAGTTTAGCAATTCAGTAAGAGCCTGTCTCAGAAACTAATAAAAGGGCTGAGGATGTTAACTCCATGTGAACGCAATCTCCAGTAACACAATAAATAAATAAATACAATTTAAATTTTTAAGCAGGTCCTGGTGGTACATGCCTATAGTCCCAGCACTTGAGATTATGAGGCAGGAGCATCACTATGACTTCAAGGCCAATCTCTGACACATAGTAAGTTCAAAACCAGCCTGCACTACAAAGCCAGACTGTTTATTTATTTATTTTTTCCCATAATTTTATTGATAAACAAATAGCAATGAGACAGTTTCAAATCAAATTGATAGGACAGTTTCAATAATTAACACATTGCATACCAGACTCTGTTTATTTAAATAAATAAAATAAATTTTAAACCCGCAAAAGTAGGCTGGACATAGTGGCGTGTGCCTGTAATCCCAGCTTTTGGGAGGCTGTAAACAGGCAGATCACTACGAGTCCAATCTAGTACTGAGACCCTGAACACCCTGTAGACCCTTCCCTAAAATACACACACAGGAAGTAATAAAATGAAAACCACAAAAATGGGGGGATAGAAACCCACAAAAGTAATATCGTCTTATCTGGGGGTATGGCTCAGTGTTGAGGTCTTAGATTCGATCCCTGGTATAGTAAAAACAGCAAACCAGCACCCCCCCCCAATTAAAAAGTACTGCACTCAGAGGCTGACACAAGAGAAGCAAACATTGGAGCACAACCCAACAATTTCGTGACTTACCAACACCCTGCCTCAGAAGGGAGGGCAGTGTCCTTTAGCTCAATCTGAAGGCCCTGCTTTCAGTCCCTAGTACACCCCCCCAAAAGGTAACTTACAGTAACTGATTATAAGTTGGTCATGGCGGCTCATCCTCTAATCCCAGCTACTGGGGAGGCTGAGGCAGGAGGATTGCAAATTTGAGGCCAATCAGAGCAAGTTAGTGAGACCCTGTCTCCAAATAAAGAGGGATGGGGATGTAGCTCAGTGGCACAGTGCCCTTTGGTTTGATGTCCAGTACAGAAAAAAAAAAAATTGCAAGTGTTAATTACGTCTATTTTACACCATCACTGCAGCATCTAGGCTGGTGTTGGATGGGATATCTGTGGTCTGGAACAGTCCAGCCTTGTGTGTGAAGACAGGCCGAGGGTGCCGTGAGATGGAAGAAACACAGGCAGACAGATCTAGGACTGCACTGGGTGCCACTTATGGAGGGCTTCTCATGAAAGTGGGCTTGCGGCAGTAACGTGGATGAATCCTCGCAGTTGGGATCAGATGGGG